ATACTTGAAACTCGTGCAAACCACACGGCAGACATGTTTAAGCGCGAAATCTTAGGCTCTGACGGGCCATCAATCCCAACCCTAAGATTGCAAAGCTCAGCTCTAACACTGCGGCTCCTACCCTTGGCAGTACTTGGCCCTACTTCTGCTTTTCTACTATTGGCGACTCTAGGCGCCTGCGCCGGTGCGAAGGTGGAACAAGGCAGGCGGTCTTCTAAAGACTTCGGACTCCTTTGAGGCTTTCCGAGGCTTTCGTTTCAAATTCATCTCCCTCTAAAAATTCGTGCCCTTGCTGCCAGTGGCCTTTGAGTTGGGCTTCCTGTGGGACTGCGGGCGAGGTGTTGTCTTCTTCGGTGCACTATCTCGGGCCGAGAGTTCTGTTCATTGTTGCTGCTTCTTGAAGCCTGATCCCAAGATCCCTAAACCCTAAACCCTAAACCCTAAACCCTAAACCCTAAACCCTAAACCCTAAACCCTAAACCCTAAACATCCCTAAACCCTAAACCCCAAACCCCAAACCCCAAACCACGCCTTGTGGCTGTGCAGCTCAGCCGGCGCAAGGCTCGGATCTGCGACGAATGCCAGCGGGACAACAACCACCTCAAGCTTTTTCAGGACTTCCATGTGGGGGTTTAGGGTTTAGGGTTTAGGGTTTAGGGTTTAGGGTTTCGGTATTAGGGGGCACCTTATTGGGTCCCTACTTTCAGGGCATCCTAGTATTTGGGGGTCTATATTAGGGGTCCTTTGTTTTCGTAAACCCTCATGTAAACCCTCATGTAAGTGCGGTACCCTGGTGAAGATCCAAGTTGATTGGAAGGCACATGTTCTTGGCACTAGGAGTTGATCATGAGGATTCACAGAAAGGAGCCAACATGATGTGTCACTTTATCCCTGCACTGTACAAAAAGGATGTTCAAGCACATCAGATGCTTGTTCTACAACTTGAGAATTTGCGGAGCATTCTGTTTGCAATCGTGGCGAAGTTCGTGGCGCAGGATGTTGCGCCCTTTGGCCCTTGTGAGACCCAAGCTTCAAGATCCATCCGTTGGATGGCTGAAGACGCAGAGATCCAAAGCGTGATGTGGGTGACGCCTTTTGCTGGCGAAGATGTCGGAAGCATAAATCCCCGAAAGTGCCGAACATCCCGCAGGATGGGGATGGGAAGTACTGCCGCAACGCCCCCAGCATGCAGCGCAAGATGGGGTGATTCATGAATCGTATGTAAATTGAAGCAAAGAAGCGGGCCAAAGCTCAATGTCACCTGTCAACTTTTGGATTTGTTGAGACGGTTCCTGCTACAGTCTGGCATGTTGAGAGTTTTGGCAGCACAGGGTTTCACGCGTGAGTTTCACCGGGTTCCGGGTTCTCCTTCCGCCAGGCTCCGATGGTTTCGGTTTCAGGCAGAGCCTCCATGCAGTACATCTGGGTTTCATGGCTTTTGGGCGCGGTTTGCATGTGGTGCGTTCGGGTTGTGTGACCGCGCAGCCCGGGATAGAAAGAGCCCAAACCTACAGCCCTAAACACCACTGAAAAACACCCGGAAGCCTGTCAATCAAGCTCGGCAAAGCAGGCCGGGACTCAGTGACCCTAAACCCTAAACCCTATAAACCCGAAACCCTAAACCCTAAACCCTAAACCCTAAACCCGCAGCCGCCCTTCCAAGGCATTTGCTGGGTTGCCTACTACCTGCAGGAGCCGCCGGCGTCCGCAGCGCCGGGTGACACAGCAAAGGGCCGACAGCGCACCGCTTCGCACTTCACCAAAGCCTTAGGCACAGAAATGCGGGTTCATGAAAATAGGGGACCCCCAGTATAGACCCCCAAATAGTAGCCAAATAGTAGGATAAGGACCCCAACAAGGTACCCCTAGTATCGCAAACCCCCAAATGCTTTTTGGGTCATATGTGTCGGAAATGCGAGGGAAGGGTCCATCCAAAGCCACCATGTGTCAGCACAAGTACCCACCGCCGAGGCTCTGAAATGAGAGTGATGCTCACGCGTGTACATAGTACTTGGAAGTTCATGGTGCATATTGACCAAAAACAACTGTACTTATAACCCACCCTAAACCCTAAACCCGAAACCCAAAACCTAAACCCTAAACCCTTAACCCTCATTGGTTAATAAGTGCCATGAACCTCCAAGTAGGTCTCGCCCCTCTCATCCGGCAGTTGGCTCCGGGAAGCGCACCCCGAACCACCCGGCACCAAGAACTCTGAAGGCGTTCGTGCTCTAGAACAACATGTTATCATTATTGTTATAAGTATTGTTGTTGTTATTATGCTTATTACTATTATTATTATGATTATTCTTCTTCTTATTAATATTAATAATATTATTCATAGTAATATAAAAGGCATGCCTGCAAAGGCGGGATGGGGATTTGTGCTTCTTCGTAGGTCGTCAATTGTATCTCGAAGCCTTCCTTGAGAGGCCCTGGACAGATTTTTCGTCGAAGTGTGCGATCCGCATATGTGTACAGCCCGCCGCATGAATTGCGTTCAAAAGAGGACCGGCTTCAACGTTCTAAACGGAGGGCATGTTTTTCGCGATCTTTTTTGGCGATTGTTTTCAAGGGTTGGGGGGGGGGGGGGGGGGGGGGGGCCTGGGGACCGGGGAGGATCGAGGAAGAAGAGGACGGAAAGAAAGAAAAAGAAAGAAAGAAAGAAAGAAAGAAAGAAAGAAAGAAAGAAAAAAGAAAGAACGGACAAAAAGGAAGGAAAGAAAGACATGAAGAAATAAGGAAATAGATAATTAAAATAAACTAAGTCAAGACAAAAGAAAGGAGGAAACTACGTAAAAAAAGGAAGAACCGAAGCAAAGACGAAAGAAAGACATAAATACACCAAAACCACAAAGAAATGTAAAAGAAAAGAGACGAGAAGAAAAGACAAGAACAGAACAGAACAAAAAGGAAAATAACATAAAGTTGTGTTTGCGACCCGGGCGGGAGAGCTGCACCCCCGCCCCCCCCCCCCCACCCCCCCCCCCCCCCCCCCCCCCCCCCATCCCCCCCCCCACCCTCTACTACCCTCCCCCCCCCCCCCCCCCCCCCCCCCCGCTTTTTCAAACTTCATGCCCAGAAGAGCACTTGCATTAAGCAGAATGGCAATGCTTTCAAAACCCGCTTGTAGTTGGGAAGGAAATGAACCAAATGAATGCGCATCCCATGAAAAATAGTAGGAGTCCCGTTAAAATGCAGAGGCAGTAACATAGAGTTTTTCCTCGGACAAGCCTATGAAATCACAGATACAATAAAGTTTTTCCTAAGGAAAACCGCTGAAGTGAACCAAAGTAATGCGAATCCCATACAAATTAGCACGGCTCCGATTAACACACAGAGTCAGTAGAGTCTTCCTGTGGAAAACCAAGGAAATTACCCGAATCAATGCGAACCTCCCCAACAACATACAGAGGCAAGAGAGGGAAAAACCCGTAAAGGTACAGAGGGAATAGTGTTTGTCCTAGACAAAACTACGGAAATGGTCAAAGCAAAACATCGCAAAGCAAAAATCTCCACCGCAAAGCAAGAAAATCTCCACCTGTTTGCGCATATCTTTGGTGACGAGCAACCCATAGGCCCTGCAGGGTGGAGGATGCTACTAGCCTACATGTGCCCAAATATGCCTATACCACACTCCTACCTTGTTTTGATTGAAGTTCTCTCTGAGCCGGAATGCGTCCTCACATCGCCATACTCCAAGCCTTCGTCTTACCCCAAGTTGAACCCTAAATGAATTCTAAATCTGAACCCTAAACCCTGAACCCTAAACCCTAAATCCTACACCCTAAACCCTAAACCCTAAAGCCTAAACCCTAAACCCTGAACCCTACACCCTAAACCCTAAGCCCTAAGCCCCCGGTGAGTGCTCGACTCGCCGTTAGCTCGAAACACGGCTTCCTCCACAGGGCTGTGGGAGAACAGTGCGGATGTGTATGGGTTTATAGTTCGGGGTCATGACTTCAGTTTATATCCGCCAAAGGCGGGTAGCAGGGGGGGGGTAGCTACCTGCTGCCCAAAGCCCTCGATGGCTTCCAGAGCAGGAGGAGCTGCTGGAGCAGTGGTTCACGTGCACAGCGCATTAGATGCAACAGCTAGCTTCCTGGCTTGAAGCCCGAGTGTTTAGATTGAATTTGATGCCAAAGCATTGCTTGGTTCCTTAAGGCTGCGCCACTAAGTCTAGACTCCTGGACCAACATGGCCTGGTCCTCGCTGGAGATTGCACCATGTCAATCTTGAACGCTTCGCTCAAAAAGTACGTGCAAGCCTCCCAAGCGTGCACAAACCCTACAAGCACACCTTGTACCAATCTCCACAGACACAGCGATCAGCAGCCCCATGTTCGGCCGCGCCGCTCGGCGACTGCCTGCGCGCCGCGCGCTGGGCATGTTTGGATAGCTTTGCAAAAGCACCATCCTCAGCACTTTGGTGCAGAGAAGTTCGGGCTTACAGGACGCGTGCCGGGCTCGAGTGTCAGGCTTCTCTTGTGTGCTTTTGTGTGTGTGTATGTGCTGAAAGAAGAACCGGAATATTACATGAGCATCAACGCACCCCTCGGCGTGTCGGCTGGAGTAATCCCTTCCCCTAATACTAAAACCACCCCTAATTTTAAATATTATTTTTCCCGGACCCTGCCGGCACCCAGCCCAATACTAAACCTGTTTGAGAATTAGGGGGGGAGGGGTTCAGGGCCTTCGCCCTTGAGTTGAGCCAGTAGGGGTTTCGGAGTTCAGGTTTTAGGATTTAGACCCCCCCCTCCCCCCCTAACTCTAAATATTTTTCGGGCCCAGGCGAATTTCAGAATTAGGGAAGGGGGGGGGGAGTGGGGGGGATGGATTTAGTATTAGGGGGAAGGGATTATCAAGCCCCAGCTGGTGCGACTCCACCCAGCAGCGGGTGTGAACTTGCCATTAGCATGTGTTGCCTGCAGCACTCCATAAAAGGCCTCTTTCAGAAGCAGACGAAGAAGTGCACAAGCGCCCACACAAATCACCATTGTACTGCAACGCACACCCAGCCAGGTGGTCTCGCTGCCTCTGCATCGGAGTCTCCGAAGGCGTGGGGTGTCTGGGGTCGGAGGCAGACTGAGAGATTCGGGCTTTTCTCGCAAGAGTCTGTGACTTTGGGAAGGGCTCGGATGTAGAGTGGGGCATGTTGTATTTTGCACGTTAGGTGAGTCATGTTGTGAATGTGGTAAACTGGGCTTAGAGCCTTTGAATGCAGCTTGGGCACTTTCCGAACCTGCATGTGCGATTCACCTAAGCCGGGCAGGGACGAACACTCGTTGCAGGAGAGCCCGCGCGCCTCGGGGCGTCTTCCTGTCAGCCACGGCATGAGCACAAGGCTCAAGGCTGCTGAGGGCTGCTGCTTAACCTGCATCGGATTTGGGATCCCAAAATGAATTCCCAAAAGTTTCTTAAACGCCCAGTGGAGAAGCAACTTCGATTTCCAAGATAGGCCCCATAAATCTTAGAGTAGCTGAGTAGCCCAGTCCCTACTCAAGCGGCCCAACGGCCAAGCAGGTCGGAGAACCCAACAAAGTTTGTTTTTGAGAGGCTCTTGGCCTGATGCCGCCCACAGAGCTGCAGAAAAAGGCAGGGTTTAGGGTTTAGGGTTTAGGGTTCAGGGTTTAGGGTTTAGGGTTTAGGGTTTAGGGACTTTGGATGTGCTCAGTCCGGAGGTTGGTTGAGGAGCTTCAGACGGGAGGCCTTTGGAGTTTTGGGATTGCGCATTCAGGTGTGCCGAGCGAGGTTTTTCTGTCCTTACTATTGAATTGAATATTGTATTCATTATATACATTAAAGCGGCTCTTGGTACAAATAGTACCGTATTTGCAAGAGATGTCCAGAGTACCGCCAGACGATCCTTGGTGTATCCTTGTTGTAGTATTGGGAGGATCTAGCTCGGGCTGAAGCTTGAGAGCGACATGAACCTGGCACGCCGTGAAGGTACAACGGTACAGCCCTACACTTGGCTCTGCACTTGGCATGGCTCCCCCTTATACGAACAGTCCTTAATGGGGATGATAAGAGGGGTACTGAAATCCCTATTAACGACTGGCGGTCTAAGGGGGACACCATCTTCATAGGGGAAATATATTAGGGGTACTCTAATCCCTATTAAGGGTTTAGGGTTTAGGGTTTAGGGTTTAGGGACTGTTAGTCTAAAGACTCTGCGCCTCGTCCACGCCAGGTTTGCAAGCCCATCCTCGAGGGCCGCGATGTGATCGTGGTCTCGCAGCGAGGCGGTGATGTGGGGGCTCAGGGGAGGCCAAAGTGGGGGCTTTCAGGGGATCCTACCATTTGGGGGTCTAAATTAGGGGGTCCCCACTGTCGTAAACTTCTTGCAATCCTGAAAGCTGTGGAGATTCAGGCTTCGGGATCTAGCTGAAGGAGGCGCAGATAGGCCGTGTGCAGATGCAAGAAGTGGCCTTCGCTTCAGGCAAAGCACGGCTGCTGGCCTACCTGATCCTTGGCATTCTTTGGCCCCGTGCTGCTCACTTGTACGTGAGCTTTGAGGACTTTGAGCCGGACCGTTGTTGTTTGGCTTCGTAGATGTGAAGATCTCCACGCGCCTAAACCTCAGGCAGCAGGCACGTGAAGCTGACGTTCTTTAAAGAAACCCAGCCCCACGTCTTTGAATCCTGAACTCCGAATTTCACCTCGAGCCCCGAAGCCCTGTCAAACGCACAAACATCCACAGAAAGCGCGAAAAACAAGGGTGCCCTTTGCAATTCTGGTAAACCCCCCCCACCCGCAGCGGTGCAACACAACACCCCAGGATTCCATTGCTCGACCGCGCCAAAACGGAGCGGTCGCCCGGCAGGTTTAGTGGCCCTGCAGCTTTTTCATTTGGCAAATGTTTGGTTCCCGTGGCTTGTGGGTAAGGGCGTGGGATTGTGGTCTGCAAGTTGCGTGGGCTTCTCACGCAATTTTTCCGATGTTTTCTGCGCATGCCTGGCCCGGCCCTAGGACCCTAGGATCCCTGCCGGAAAAACCTTCAGTTTTTTGTTTGGGGGGGAGGTGGTCTTTGCCTCTAAAACCTTCAGTTTTTGTTTGGGGGGGGGGGGGGGAGGTGGTCTTTGCCTCTCCACGCTGTGTTTGACAAGGGCCCCCCCAGGGCTCCTCAGCCCCCAAGGATGGATGCGAAGTGTCCCCGAGCTCCGACCCCCAAGCTAGCAACGCGTCCTTCCGAAGACTGCTCGAAAGCTCATTCGAAAAGGGCCTGAACCCATAAACCCCTAAACCCCTAAACCCCTAAACCCCTAAACCCCTAAACCCCTAAACCCCTAAACCCCTAAACCCTAAACCCTAAACCCTAAACCCTGAACCCTAAACCCTAAAACCTAAACCCTAACCCCACTACACCTCGAGGTGGGCGCCAGATGAGGCCGCCATCATCGTAGAGCCCAACAAGCTTCTTGCCGACTCGAGGCTGATGTCGGAGGTTTACGAAAGTACGGGACCAATTTAAAAAAAAACACCCAAATAGGAGGATTCCCCTATTAGGTAGGGTACCCTTAAGTTCGGAACCCCGGTACAGGATAATCTCATCTATACTGCAGGTTTGCAAAGACAGTTCTAAAGCGTCTTCAGAGAGTAAGCCTCCTTTTTGCTGCGCCAACGCCGTGTCTTGAAGTTGACGTACAGTCGATTCACGGTATGGCTTCGGAAAATAGGAGGATTCCCCTATTATAAGGAGCCCTCATCGGGTACCCTTAGTTTCGGAAATCACCATGCACGCAGATAGGGGGGGAGCGATCGAGGTTAAGGTTCTTGTTTGTGCGTGCTTGCGGCGGAAGATGTTTGAACCTAGGGTTTTTGTGGGCTCCGGATTGTGCTCACTCTGTGGGCCGCTTGGGAGTCGTTTCCCTGAGCTGAAAAATGCTGCATGAGAGTGAACTTTACAGCGGTTGCAGTCATGGAGGAACCAGTCCACATCATATCCTCTCAGCTGAGGAGAAAGTTTACGTCCTGGCAAACTCCCTGCGCCTCTCGGCAACCTCTGTTGCATGTATTGAGGGGTTGTGAGCCCTGTAAGTTCATCCGATTTTAAACCTGCGGTTCCTCCCCCCCCAAAAAAAAATCAGAAAAAGCCCTCCTGCCAATAGCGCCTTTGTCCAAGCAAGGTCATGTGGTCTGCAGTGTGGTGCTCCCAACATGAGACCACTAGTCGCAAAGAACGGTTTTTGTTCCAGTTCTGCAAGAGGGGCTGTTGAGAAGGGAGTGGAAACTCATTTTTCGTCTGGCCGAATGCTGCAACAGGCATATCGTCCTTTCACAAACGGCTGTTTCAATGCAACTGGCCACGGTCCTAATTTGGACAGAAGCCCGCCTGGCTGCTAAACTTGCGGTGGATCAGATATGAGGGGCTGTGGAGGTGCCGTCTGAAACCCCACAGGCCACAAGCCTTGAAGCTTTGCTCTGGAAGGTCGAAAAAAAGGAGCCATGCGACCGGGTTATGCCTGCAGGGTGGTGCAATCCCTTGTCCAATACGTGTAATTCATATGAATTGCTTCGGACACCCCTTGGAAACGTGTCTAAGAAGGTCATCAAGCTAGGCCGGCTGAATCGCCTCTCAAGGCAAGTGGTCCTTGCGCACGATCATCCTACGTGAGGAAGGCGGATCGAGTGCCACAGCCCTGAAAGCTTGACCAGTGCCCACTCGAGTTGGTACGAACTTGGGAGCCCCAAGCGGTGAACAGTCCGTCATATGGCCTTAGATGTTATGAGGCTATTGTGGCTTTATTGGGCTTTGCAAGGCGGCAGCGAAGCACTGGCAGCGCAGCGCGACACCTTGCGGCATTCCTGGTTGGAGTAGTCGGGAACGAGGATGTATTTGGTTTGGGATGTGTGGGTGTGTGTTAGGGTTACAAGCATAGGCTCCTGCAGCTTTGAGGAGGCCAGTTGGTGCCTAAAGGCTGTGTGGGACACAAGCCGCGCCAGATTTGATGCCAGCTGGTGACGTGATTTGGGACACACTCCTCTGTGACGGGTTTGAGGCCAGCTGGCCAGCTGCTGCTTGAAAGGCCTGCACAGACGTGAGGTAGCCCGGACCCGGTGAGCTGCGCCTGACACCTGCGGAACATTGGCCCGTGCGCGGCGTTTGAGTTGCTGACTGAAGCTTGGGGCAGCCGGTCGCCGGATTTGACTCCAGCTGGTGCCGTGACCTGGTTAACACGAGCCTTCACCGGGTTTGTTTGAGGGCAGCTGCTCATGAGCTCGTGCTGTGTTTGACTTGAAGCCTGTGTGGGACATTGGCTTGCGCCTGGTGTGGGGCCGGCTGGAGTCCTTGTGGGATGCTACTTGCTACTGTAGCCTGCGCCGGTTTGGAGGTCTGCCGTTGCTTGGAACCGGTGTGCGGCAATCGCTTGCTCCAGGTTTGACTTGGGGGACTGGTTGCGGGTGTGTGAAGCCCATGCCGGGCACTCGCCCACGTCTTTGGGGAACGCCAATCTGCGCCGGGGTACCAATCCCGGCAGTCATGGCGGTTCCTGCTGTGTCAGCCGCCCGCGCAACAGAGAGCCTGAGATGATACTTTCTGAACCCCCAATGCGCCTACACCCGAAGTGCCATCCCCACCCTTGAAATTTGAAGTAAGCTGAGACTGCCGGTGAGCCCTTCAGCCTTGAAAATACATATTTGCAACGGTTACAACATTTCTAGAGGCATGCTTCGTTTGACAACTACCTAGCAGATAAAAAGGAACGAAGTAGAGAGCAGCTTCTCAAAAATGAGCCAGCAGCATGCTCTAAATACTCCGAACAATTCCCAACACCCTAAACCCTAAACCCCTAAACCCTAAACCCTAAACCCTAAACCCTAAACCCTAAACCCTAAACCCTAAACCCTAAACCCCCAAAATGCCCTTCAAATCAGGCGCTGCTCCGCCGCGGCGCTCACCTTGTCGTGGCCACGGTCTCGCAACTGCGGGTGCCAGGGCTTTGGTGAAAGCAGCGTGGGAGCATGTGGGTAGTGGTACCCTTAGGGGATTTTATTCTATTTGGGGCATACAAGGGATACCCCTATTTTGGGGGACATCTACCAATTGCCTAAGAACCCCCGCATAAAAAATAAAGATATTCTGCCTTATAAGGGTAATATAGGGATTATTGTTATTTATTTTTGGGGGGTTCTTAAGCAAAGAGGAGTGTGGGAAACCCCAGGTCCTAGAACGAGTCCTCAATCCGGATGGCAGAGAGCAGATTCCTCGGTAGGATAAGGGGGACCCTCAAAAGGGAACTCCTTCTTAACCCTCTTCTGGCTCTCTTAAACAGGGACCTTATTCAGAGGGTCTATATCCCCAAGGGTCCCCCTAATCCTATCCCCTATAGATACATGTCTGGACTGTGCTGTTTGGCCGATTTCAAGGGCACCTTGGTGGCTTTAGGTTCTGCAGCTTCGGGTCTGACCTTGGCTGGGCAGTGGACTACCCCTGTTGTTTGCGACGTTTCTTCCACTCCACTGCTGGGCCGTGAGAACTGCGCATCATAAGGCTTGTGTTTCCTGCTGCTCCGAGCACCAAAACGTCCCCGGTAGCAAGCGAAACGCAGAATCAAGCCGCCTCCAGGACTTGGCAGATGCCGATGGCATGAATGCCACGAAGGCTCCATGGGCGCCAGGATGTCTTCGGTTTCGTGCTTTACTTAGGGACCTTCGCCCGAAGGTGTAGAAGCGCGATGTCTGCTATGTGTGACTATTAACCCTAAACTATAAACCCTAAGCTAGAAACCCTAAACCCTAAACCCTAAACCCTAAACCCTAAACCCTAAACCCTAAACCCTAAACCCTAAATCCTAAACCCTAAACCCTAAACCCTAAACCTAAACCCTAAACCTCAAACCCTAAACCCCAAACCCCAAACCCTAAACCCTAAACCCTAAACCCCAAACCCTAAACCCTAAACCCTTCACGCTACTTCCCAGTTCTCACGCACTAGCCTCCGAGCATGGGCCCTTTGTAGGGAACAAGGGCCAAGCTTGGGGTTTGAAAAGTTTTTGGTACCTTGAGCCCCAACTCTGGCTCCCTGGCTCGTAGGTCCCAACTCAATCCCTGCACGTGTCCAAATTCTTTGGGTCAAGCATGCAGTTACTGTGGGTTTTGTTTAATTACGGCTTACAGGGGAACAATCGGGTTGATCGTGAACGCTAGGGCGTGAGGTGACTTTGCCAACACAACAATATGGGAACAGAAGGGAACCACAGCTGAGGAAAAAATCCGACTCCTCAACCCTGCCCTGACTGAACCAACAAAGCCCAAGATCCGAAACCTTCGCCACGAACCCCTGCGCCCTGTGAACGCGCTAGGTGCGCACTATCGTCCTGGATGATGCGCAGGCGTCACTTGGCGCTTCGGCCTTCCTGAAAGCGCTTTCCCTGGGTCCCAAGACTTGATGCGACGTGAGGGTTTTGGATGTCTAGGCTCAGAACTTCCTGAAAACCCTGCAGCGCGTGCAAGTGCACGTGGGCGAGGCGACAGGGCGAACGTAGTCAAGTTGCGAGCGTGCTCTTGATTGGGAGTTTCCGGACCGACACAGCGCGCAAGCCCTTCGCAAGCTATGCGAAAGCCCGTTCTGAGCCGTGGCAACGTGTGTCCATTGTTAGCAAAGTTGTGTCACAACTTTGCTACCGGCCAGGATCCCGCTGAGAACGCGCTAGGAGCAGTTGAGTAACCCAGGACCATTCGCCCCACAAAGCCAACTGAGGCTCAAGTCGCGGCCCCGCAGCAAAGAGCTGCAAGGCCCCGCGGTTCATGCTTGGGAGTGGCCTGCAAGGGTGAAGCTCTCCACCTGGGGCTTTATCTGGCTGGTTCTGAGTAGGGAATGAGGGAATGAGGGCCCTGTATACCCTTTAAGGGATTATGTAGGGCTCTCATTCCCTCATTCCCTACTAAGAACCAGGGCTTTGTGCCAGACTCTCCGGGGGCTTTTCTGAGGACTTTCCGGGGGGTTTTTCCGAGCAGACCTTAAGATTCAAACCAGGGCACCAGACGAAGGAGCGCATAGGGTTTTCCTCTTACAACTTCCGTGTACCTTCGCCCCTCCTCTCAGACCCTTTCGCCCTCCCTGCAAGCCCAGATGCCCCGCCCCTCCAAACCCTGAGCCGTGAAACTTGAGCCGAGGGCTGCTGCGTGCCCTGAGCACAAGCCAACCGCAGACGCTTGATTTCGCCATGTAGGGTTTAGGGTTTAGGGTTTAGGGTTTAGGGTTTAGGGTTTAGGGTTTAGGGTTTAGGGTTTAGGGTTTAGGGTTTAGGGTTTAGGGTTTAGGGTTTAGGGTTTAGGGTTTAGGGTTTAGGGTTTAGGGTTTAGGGTTTAGTGTTTAGGGTTTAGGGTTTAGGGTTTAGGGTTTAGGGTTTAGGGTCTCAAAGAAAGATTTGTTCCTATGGAGGGACGCTTGAGCTTTGAAGGGTGATTGGGCTGCGGTTGTTGTGGTTGGTATGGGCTGGAGATTTGGGGTTTAGTCGAGGGTGCGCGTTCCTGGGATAAGGCATATGAGGGGTCTAGGAGAGCTGGTTCTTGCAAGCTCTGGATGACTGGATGTCCTGGTGGTGCAATGACCCGTGGTGCCACGAAAAGAGCTTGCCTGAAAAGCCGAACAGCCCACAGTTGCCTTCAAAGAAGCCCTGGGCGTGATTGAGGGCCTCCTCCCGAGGACCGTGGTCTGCACGGATGCCTCGCCGCAGTGGGTGGAGGCACGGAAGCGCCCCGGCTTTGCGGGTTTAGGGTTTAGGGTTTAGGGTTTAGGGATTTAGGGATTAGGGATTTAGGGGTTAGGCTTTTGGACGGGGCGGCTAGGTTTTCTGATGCCTCACTGTTGTGGTAGAGTGTTGGAATGGATTCTCAAGGTTTCTTTCGGGCACTTCGTTTGAGAGGCCCATTGCAGTGATCTGAAAGAGCCTCCAAGCTTCGTTTCTTTGTCGTGCCTACCGCTTCACGCCCTCCTGTCATGGTTAGAACCCTTCCTCAGCCTCAATGTGGGGGCTCTTGTTGTTCCTAAAGCCTTACAGACCCTAGCGCTTTGCTCCGAAGAGCTTCGCAGAACAAGGACTTGGTAGCGAGGAGGGTCTTACTTCAGCTGTACGTCCTTGGTGGCAAGAAGAAGCAGCAGTGCCAAGTGTCAAGCACCAAGCCCACAGCACTCAACAAATCTCTGTTCCATGTCCCTGCACCTGAGCAGCTTCTGCAAGCCCTTGAACTCCGATGCAGGAGGAGCTGGGCGATCACTTGCGGGATCCCCTTTTGGTCAACTCGCTAGGCGCTGGGGCCGCTTCAGGGGCGGGGTTGGTTTTCATGGATTCGTGGTTGTGTGAACAAGAAAGGTCAAAGATCGCATCGTGAATGTTCCCTGAACAGCCTGGGTGCAAACTCTACGAAGCCTGACTGCCTTGCCCGGCGGTGGTGCCCAGGCAACCGCCCAGCACTGCCCCTCTCGACGCGGCACTTGGTCTGTGAGGCCCTTGAGGTATTAGGGATTCCAGTTCGTAGACCGGCTCCATTCCCATTTCAGTGAAGCGGCCCGACGGCAATAGGAGCACGAAGCGCAGCACTGAGCAAACGGATGGCGCCTGTTTAAAACGAAGTGGCCTTGCAGTAGCCCGGCACCCCAGATACCAGCCCATCAGAACCCACAACGCAGGTGCCTGGCAGCACCACACGAAGAGCAAGGCAACAGCTGTCGATTCACACAGTAACCACAGTTCCGGGGCCGGGTTGAGTTGAGTTTTTGACCTTCGGGGTTTGGGATAGCTTCGCCTGTGCATCCTGCTGCGCACGACGAAGGTGATGAAGCTAATGATGGGGATCCCATGGAATTGCATAGTTTGCCTTAGCTTTAGGTCCAGGGTTCCAGGACGGGCAGAGTTTGGCGGTTTGGGAGGTTGGGGAAAGCCATGGGAGTGACCCGGGGTGTGCAGGGTTTGAAGTGTCTTTGAGGCTTGATGGGCATTCAGAGGTTTTTGAGATTTCGGATTGAGAGCTTCGCCGGAAACCTCAATTCACAAGACTCACGATCTCGCAGAGTTGCAGGCTCTTGGCGCACATGCTGGACCAAGACCTGACGGGCTCGGGTGCAGCGGCTGCAGCGGAGGCGAAGTCCATACTGATCTACTATTGGGGTCAGAATACTCTTGTGGTTCCTTTATAAAAATGTTACAATGACCCCCAAAACCCTGTTCTAGTTATTAAGGCCCCTAATTATGTGGTTCGATTCATTTTGGCCTTGGCTGGGACAGGGCTTGTGGTTTGGGTGTGCCCGGTTCTACCAATAGTCTGGAGTTGATTGCATTTATGGAGTGTTTTGGAGTTGATTGGTGTAGGTGTGGGAGTAGGGCCTGCATGGGTGTGCCAATTGGCAGCCGCAGGCACCCCAAAGAAGGCCTTGGCCCTACATAAGCAAAATCGAAGCCCTCGAAAGTGACGACCCTCCAAGGGCCTGAAGCCGCGAACTCCCCCGAGTGCCTTGATGGCACAAACCCGGTTTAAGATGAACCTTGAACCGACTCTTCTTAAAACCAAAGCCCGGCGCACCATCCTAGAGCCAGCTGCCCTCCATGAAGAATCGTACCCTTCTCACCTAAGCCCGAGACCCGAACCCGACAAGGACAAATCCTCTGCCGACGAGGGCAAGCCGGCAGGGAAGGCAGGTGCAGGGTTTGACCTGGGATGGCTCAGGCTTCCGAGTTGTTTCTCGGGGGGCGGGGGCGGGTTGGGGTCTGCGGGATGGGCAGCAGAACCTGAGCGTGAGCCCTTAAAATGTGAATTGCTCCGGACCTGAACCGAAAACCCCCAAGACCTGCTTCTGCCACCCCCTTTCAAAACCACGCTGGCACGTTCTGCACGAGCCGTAAGGTGCCAGCCCGATTCGTAGAGTCGGCTCACCCTGTGCGAATTACACTGAGGGCATCACTGCACGGTTCGACGGGAGGTGATCATCTTCGTGATTTCCAAGGCGGAGGCCTCGCTACTGTCTGGCCACGCCATGCTGCGCCAGCGCCTGCTGCCCCTTGCTTGCACCGTGCAGTTGAAATGAGTTTTGAAGCTTTGAAGGCCTTCCCTTGAGTTAGAGATCGGATGCGCAAGTCCTGTTTCTGCCTCTGAAATCTTTCGCTCTTGAGCCCTTCCATGCTGCTGCCAAGGCTTACGATTTGGGGGTTTACGAGAATAGGGAGCCTCATATAGACCCCCAAATAGCAGGATCCCCTTCTCATATCTTTTCGAGGGAGGTCGAGTCCGTTGTGAATGCTTGCGAGCAGTATGAGAAGGCAGACGAACGAAGTGGAGGGATGCTGAAGGCATGTGCCACGCAGAATGTACTCCCTCCCCCCCCCAGAAACTCCACAACCCCTTAATTAAGGAATCTACCTTAAACCATATTGGGGTTCCTAGTATCATTTAAGGGGTGTTCCTTAATTAAGGGGTTTTGGAGTCTCTGGGCTCCCCCCCTTCAGGCTTCCGGAGGTGGTTGGGGAAGGCAGCTTCACATTTTTTAAAAATTCTTTGCTTCAATCGAAGAACGAACGCGGCTGCCAGAGTAGGATCTCTCAAGGGTGTTTCTTGGGGGTGTGGTCTTGTAATTTTCTTCAACTGGAAACGAAGCCCAGATGAGGATGTCGTAAGCTTCGGCGCTAGAATGCAAAATTCCAATTCAGCTTCATTTCGACTAGGGGCCAGAGGAGGATTTCATCCGGTACTCCAGACTGCGCCGCCTACACCTGGAGCCCTGACCCACTCCAGGTGCCTCCATGAAGGGTTGGCGCCCGCTGAGCAGCAGGTGCCACGTGCTTGTCTACGTACCCGTGTAGTTACGGAGGGTTTAGGGTTTAGGGTTTAGGGTTTAGGGTTTAAGGTTTAGGGTTTAGGGTTTACGGGCGATGTTTTGCATTGTTTTTTGGGGTTGGGGGCGTGGGAAAGCCTCTAAAATCTCTACTTTCGGGCCGGCCTCACGGTCCTGAACCATTCCGCCACAGGGCTGCCCACGACAGGCATGTTTGGCTTTTTACATGTATCCCTCATAACAGTTTCTCCTTTCTAGGGCTTTGGAATACCAAGGGCTTGGTGGTTTTCAACTTTCAGATTTGGAGTCGTTCCCAAAATTCAAGCTCCGCGGTCGCTTGAGCTAGGGCTGGGCCGCCTTTGCGAGGAGATCCTGGCTCTTTTCCGGACGCTGCCCTCCCAAATTCTCATCACCACGGACGCTGCCGTGAAGGATGTCGAGCTGCCTGCCGTGCCGCTGGTGGTCCATGTGCCGGTGCCCCCAGATCTTCGGGAGCCTAAGCTCCTCTCTCCTTACCATCATGACCCCAAAACAATCCACGCCTCAACCCTGAACACTAAACCCCAAACCCCATACCCCAAACCCTAAACCCTAAACCCTAAATAAGCCCCATAAGCCACCAAAAGCAGGTCCAAGGGCCGGCAAGTTCTGAAGAGTTGAGTCCTGGTCGAAAACATGGTCCGCCAACTCGCTTTAGGCCCCCCTTCCTGCGGACTCATATGGCTTTAGTGTTGAGGCGTCTTGCAGTTGAGGAAGGTGCCACTATTCCCGTTGAGTCGATGATGCCGTGCAGGTCGGCCGCGCCGAACCTCGAGGTGGGCCTTCGAAGAAAGAGCGGTTTTTGTGGCAAATGGCGCTTTGAGAGGAGAGCATGGCAGGGTTCGGGCTCCTGCGGCTTTGAGGGCATGACGATTTGGTCGCATTCGCATCAGCCCCCTAAACCCTAAACCCTAAACCCTAAACCCTAAACCCTAAACCCTAAACCCTAAACCCTAAACCCTAAACCCTAAACCCTAAACCCTAAACCCTAAACCCTAAACCCTAAACCCTAAACCCTAAACCCTGAACCCTGAACCCTGAACCCTAAACCCCAAACCCTAAACCCTAAACCCTAAACCCTAAACCCTCGAAGATCTACTTGAATCGCATCGGCCGCCTCACTGCGGCGCCGTCGAAGCGCCGCTCGCGCCGCACGGGGCCGGCAGGGCGCTGAGGGGGAGAAGGGTTGCTGGAGGGTTTAGGGTTTAGGGTTTGGGGTTTGGGGGTTAGGGTTTAGGGTTTAGGGTTTAGGGTTTAGGGTTTAGGGTTTAGGGTTTAGGGTTTTAGGTTTAGGGTTTAGGGTTTGTTGCGGAGTAGAGTGTGAGAAGAGGGTTTCTTTTCTGGCAACCTCTGCTCCCTGAGTATGCTGTATTCGTAGCAGCCTGAAGCAATCTCAGCAACAATGGAGGATCTGGCGCAACTCAGTGCACACCCTACTCTAATTTAAAGCACCAACACAGTGCCTGGTTCAAACAAAGTCTCGCTGGAGCCTGCACCATGATTTCCAAAGCCCGAAGTCAGGCCTCCACCCTGCACCCTCGAACCAGAATGAACCCAACGCAATGCCAAGTCCAAGCATCCTAAAGTCAGGCCATCTCGCTGGTGCTCCTCCCCGGACACCAGGGCGCCAAGCTCCGGGAGCTGGAGCAGCTGGGATTTCATCCAGTGGCCGCGGACACTTTGAGTCATGTTGGGCGATTTTCGAGAAACTTTCGAGTTCCGGTCTCCGGTTTTCAGGCTTTTGGAGGTTGAGTACGTTTCGGGGCTCCTGGGCATCACGTTGCACGTGACGGTTTCAGGATGAAGCCTCTCCCGTTGTTGTCTGCTTCGTTCACTGCTCTCTTTTCAGCAATCTCTCGGTCACCGCGAGTGCACCTTGGCTTTAGCCACTTGCCGCTCGGAGGAGCAAAAAAGAGTCGGCATGGACACACGCAAGTATCATGTAGTCGTGTAAGGACTGGTGCATTCTGTTGCCTTACCATTGTTGGGTCCCTTGTCCTTAGCTTCTCGGCCTGATGCGACTCGCTCTTAGGCGGGATTTGGGACGCCGGTTCGAAGTGCTGCCGTCGCCACCAGAGGCGATGATGCCTACTTACTCTGTGCAGTCTGCGAAGTCAGAGTCAGGCTTAGACGGGTCGGATAATCGTGTCTTGTCTGAGAACAAGCCCGTCGCTTCCACTTCAAGCCGTGCCCTACTGCAACCGCCGAACCCAGGCCTGAAGCCCTGCATCCGACATTTTGTGCTGCAGAAAGTAAGCCTAAACCCTAAACCCTAAACCCTAAACACTAAAATCTGTTGCATGGGTCTGCAGTCGGCCGAGTGCTCCGAGCAACTGGGCGTTGGGGTTAGCCCACGACAGGTAGTTCTAGGCATATGCCTCCCCACAAGCAGCTGTAGCCATGGTTCCCAACGGTTCCCACGAAGCGAAGCTTTCACCCCAAACTCGGAGAGCTATGTTCTGCCAGACCGTCAGGTCTTACCAGTCGCATGCCGGGATACAATACAAAACGAGGCTTTCAACAAGCAGCATGCCGCACACATAAACGCACCCACCCTTTCAACTACGGTAACTGATCCGAAGGCCCTGCACGCAACTGTTCAATGAGAAGATCGTAATTTTCGAAACAATCCTGTGAAGCCGTTCAGTGTGAACAATAAGTGGCTTAGTTTTTGGCCGCTCAAGGTTAACAAGACAATGCCTGCCTGTCGTGCAGTTGCCGTAACTTTGCACGCGTGCATCGGTTGCAAGGAGACGGTTGAGAAAGCGTCGCCCTGACTCTGTATCTGGTCAGGCAGCACTCCGCCGCAGTGCCGTTGCAGCTGTGGCGAAGGCGAGTGCTTGGCACTCTTCGGGGCCAGCGGGCTCCTCTAGGAAGTGGAAGTGCGGGCACGTGCCTGATTGCACCGAGCTGCAGCTCCTTGTGAGCTTGCCCGCAGGCTTCCGTGTTGGAATCCAGGGTCAGATAGGTGGCCAAGGCTGACGTTTAGGTGTAGGATTTTTGGATTAGGGCTCGGGGCTCCTTGCAGACTAAGACACGTGGCTCCGGGGCCAAAGCACACCCTCCAGCGTGACTGCACCTCCCACAGGCTGTCCTCTAGAAGCAAGGTTTCTTCCAAGACAATGCTTGCAACCCAAAACTGCCCAAAACTGCTGAAGAAACTGCGATAGGGTCTAAATATCTTTGATGTCTTTTCGTGTTTAGGTGTTTCATTCCTGCTGTTTCATAGTTGCTTCCATCGTTGTATTCGGCTCCGCACTGATTACGTATTGTTTTTGCCATTCTCTATTAATCTCTCGACTTTGAGCAATTAAACTGCTGTAAAAACTCTTCTTCGGTTCCCTCTATGGCTACGCTGCTGTCCTATGGCCTCTGTGATTCTTGCAAGGAGTTGAAGATGGCCATGAAGCAGCGCTTAGCTTAGCATCTGGGGGTTGAGGGCCGCCCTGAGTGTATGTGAAAGTGCATCTGTGCGGGGGCTTGCGGCATGAGACAGGTGAGAAATCTGTAAGAATGCAGACCAACGCATCAATCAGAACGTCCCCCCCCCATTGCAGCTTCAAGTGTTGCAAGTCAGTTTGCGCTCTTACTTGCATCTTGGACAAGTAAGTCTAGGGTACTATATAGCGTCCTGGCTCCTAAGCTCAAAGGTCCTAGGGTCCCAGGATCCTACAGTTGGCCAACCCATGGGACAGAAAGTCTGCTGGCTCCCGAGCCTTCAAAGTACGCTCAGTACAATCTCCAAATCAAAAGACGCAACCTCTGATTCAGCCCAGGGCTGAAAAGCCTAAGGCGTCAATCCCAAAAGCGAGTCTCAAGACTGCCTCAGGTACGACTCTGGGGCATTCCTGGCAGATGCTGAGCAGCAGTTCCTTTCTCAGCACTGGGGTCTTAATGGCTTATGACTTTTGTATGGGCTTATCAAAATCAACGTGATCCAACCCACTCTTGTGGCACTGAGCTCGGGAATGCGGGGACTTTGGCGTGCAAACGCTCAAACCGTCGATTCCCTAATTCATCCTAGGTTAGAGGTCCATGGACCACGGCTCCTGGCAGCAGCACTGGCGTCCTGGCCGCTTGAGTCAGGAGAGTGAGGACTTCACAACTTGGTGTAGACTTCAGAGGCTTTGGAGCTTCAGGCCATACTGTAGGCACTGTAGGCTGTTCAAAAGGGAGGGGGCGAAGTTTCCGGGTCAGAGCCTTAACAAGACATCTAGCCTTCGAGGGCTAGCGGTCTAAAGCGTTGGCTTCCGTCGTTGGCTTCCATCTAGAGCGGCGTGCCATCTCGAGAGGCTATCCCCAGGGCAGGCAAGGGGCGACGGGGTGACCTAAATTCCTTTTCTCTGCAAAAAGTGGTGGCCGGCCTCGGCTTAGGCCGCCCCCCCCTCCCCCCCCCCTCCGCCAGGTCCTTCTTGAGCGGCGCCGGCGTGGCGAGGAATGGCGCTCGCCGTTCTCGGGCCGGCCCAGGTGCTTGTTCTGTGTCAAAAGCCCAAGATGCTCACCCCTAAGCCCTAAGCCCTAAGCCCTAAACCCTAAACCCTAAACCCGAAACCCGAAACCCTAAACCCTGAGGGTTTAAGGTTTAGGGTTTAGGGTTTAGGGTTTCCCGGAAAGCTGTAGAGCCTAGACAGTGTGGCACATCCTCGGAGCTTGTTGTGCGTCTTTCTACATCCCGCATGCTCGAGTCGAAGGAATCGCGCGGGCTGAAGACTCAACCTTCACCATTCAAGCCCCCATTCTGTGCATGCTCACCTCACCTAGCCGAAGTCTCAGACAACCAGGGATTGGGGTTCAAACAAGGCGACACATAGTTGCACTTGTTCGTTCATGGCATGCTTGTTGGGTGTTTTAGGCTTGGACTTGGGCACTGTTTCACCAAATCTGCATGCCATGTGCCGTGATGCAGGTTCGCACCTCTGCTCTTGATCGATCCGCGGCTTGCCGGCATTTTCGTTTAACTGCAAGCCTGTAAGGGCTGACAAGTAGAAGGCCGCAGCGACTCGCAAGCGCGAGACCGCACGCACATGCACGTACGCAGGTGTGGACACACACACACACACAAAATAAAAGAAAGAAAACACACGCCCGCCTGCCCGCCCGCCGCCCGCGCGCCTGCCCGCGCCGCCCGCCGCCCGCCCGCCCGCGCGCCCGTTCAGAAGTGCTATTCAGAAGCGCCAAGTTTGTCGCTGGGTTTGGTATGGGCAAAGACCTGGCCGCAGCAAGTGGAGGCTGGTGCCGACACAGATTACATGACTTGGTAGATGTCCTTGGGGCTCTTGCTGCCGCTGGTGTTGTCGCTGCCGCTGTAGTCGCCATACCCAGTGGTACCATTGTTCTGGGGGACGGTGGCGTATTTGTCCTTGCTTCTATCGTCGTACCCACCTGTGTCGTTGTCGTAGGAGATGCTGGTGTAGTTGCCTTTGGTGCTGTTGGCACTGCTGCAGCTCCGATACAGCAGCGCCAGAGGCACCATGAACAGCTGCACGCACGGTTCCTGTGACAACGACACCAGGGCGTAGGACAACAGCACCAAGAGCAACTACACTAGCGTCTCCTTCATGTGACAATGACACCAGTGACTCTGACAGCTACAACGTAACAGTGCCAACAGCACCCAGGACAATACGCGAGCATCTTCCACGAAAACGACACCAGTGCGTACGGCAACGAGACCAAGGACAACTCCACCGATGTCGCCTATGACAGCAGCCCCAGTGGGTATGACAACTGCAGCGGCGGCGACAATACCAGCAGCACCAACAGCCCCAAGGACAACTTGAAAAGCGAATCCTATGACAACGACGCACCAGCGGTTGTCCTTGGTGCTGTTGTTGCTGCTGCTGGTGCTGCTGCCACCACTGTAGTTGCCATATCCACGGGTGCAATTGTCATAGGAGACGCTGATGTAGTTGTCCTTGCTGCTATCGCCGTATCAGATCCAACGTCATGGTCCTGCTCCCTTCTCCAGTGTTCTTCTTTGTGACCGGACAAAGCTGGAGTCATTGGAGCAGCACTCCAATCATCAGATTTCTGCCACTTCCATGAATCATCTGACTACTTGGAACTCTCTGAGCTCCATTGGTTCCAGCTGTTTTCGCGACAGGTGTTTTTGGATGCACGTGTGCTGAAAGCAAGCAGTCGAAGATCATGAAGGGAAGAATCAAGTTGCCTCAAGTTGAGGGAAATCAAGTTGCTAATAGACAGCGATCATCCACTGCTTGAATGATCATATGAAGCAGGGTTTATGCTACTGTTTTTGGTGAGTGTTTATAAGGTTCCCTTTTTAATATTGGTGAGTGTATACCTTGGGTGTCCTTTTGGGGGTACACGAAATATAAACCCTACGTCATATCAAGATGGATTCTCGCTACCGAAATTGGAGATGTCGATTCAAGTTGCAGACACAAGTTTGAGCCGGCTGAATCAAGCAACGACGTTCGGCTCTTTGGCAGAATGCCGGTCGGGAAGGCACTTGCTGACCCATGACAGGGTGAGTTAGATTATGCTAGATTGTTGGCTGTTGTTCTGCTTCGGAGCCACTGTCCGCAAGCCGAAAGAATGTCTGGCTGTACACCCCGTACGGTGGTCCAAAAGTGGACTCCCCCTGAAATTGTCCCCTTCATCGATTCTGCAGTAAGGTGCGTAAACTGGCACTCACTTGGATTCGGTATGGGCTCTGCAGCTTCGCAATCCCTTCATGCTGAGGGCTGCCGTAACTCGTGAGCAGCTTGCTCGCGACAACTTAAAAAGCTGATGCAGGTACACAGAGTGGTGTCCCAATCCACATCATGGAATATCCAGAGCTGTCTCTTCTGGCAGCAGAGCTGCGGACTCCCTGCTGCCCCACTTGTATGAAACAGCAAGGAAGGACAAGAACCTTTGCAAGCAGGTGCACACGCATGCACGAGCCAACGCCCACGCCCGGTCGCCCACGCCTGCCGCCCACACCTGCCACACACACCATTCCCTGCGCCCCCCCGTTCCCCCCCTCCCCGTTCCCCCCCCCCCCCGGCGCGCCCTCCCGCCCATGGTTTGCGAGCTATGTTTCGGCCAACTGACTGGAGCATGTTAGAGCTATCTTGAGCCTCCATAAGAACTTAGGGTTATGACCTCCGTACCTCAACCTAACCACCCCCATCCCCCTTAACCCCAAACTTGCTAAGTTCAACTGCAACTGCTTCAGCTCCTGTCCAGGCACCTGGAGCGCCTGGCTTCTCGGCAAGCGGCCGCCAGCGCCTTGCGCCGCGTGTTGCGCCGGGCTGCCGAGGGCGTCGACAAGGCATCGGGCACGGTTAAAACAACCCTAAACCCTAAACCCTAAACCCTAAATCCTAAACCCTAAACCCTAAACCCTAAACCCTAAACCCCAAACCCTAAACCCTAAACCGTCGGCTTCGGCTCAAGGACTCAGAGGACTCAAGGCGGCAAGAATATGTTGCACGTTCCATGTCCGGCTCGGGGTGTAAGTGCACGGTTTGCATTGCGCAAGGATTCTTCAGGGAGGCGAAAGAAACAGAAAGAGATGCTTGCAGAGAGAGAGAGGCATATATTGCGTGGAAGGTAAAACATCACCTCGATCACTGTATTCGTACTGAACCTTGCCGATGAGAGTGAGTCTTGGGTACCGACTCGTGCGGTAAGCAAGCACTCAAGTTAGCGCATTTCCCAGGCAGCAGCAGCCTCCAAGTCCTTGCACGCTCTCACTGGCCATTTTGTTGCACCCTCGAAGCTAGAGGCATATCGCAGTTGAACACCCTCACCCTCCTCCACTTGTCTTCACACTCTGAGTAGAACCCACAGAGGCCCCCCTGTGTTCTAATGAAGATGTGGCCGAACTTGCTTCTAAAGCAGGACGCGTGCTTTTTCTCCCAAGCACATGCTTGTTTCAACATACATGCAAACCTTGGCCCCCGGGAGGAGGCAATCGATGTCCAGATCGGGCGCATCGAGCTGACAAAGAAAGGTGGGCAGCTCACGCCGAGGATGCTTTGGGGTTGCGGGCGGCTCGCAGGCCCACGGTTCAGGAGCATCATCTGCCTTTCGAGAGAACGAAAGTTGTGGTTAAACCATGTTAAACCCGTGCGCGCAACAATGCAACCTAGGTTGGCTGGTGGACGTCCCGAGGGCCCTGGTTCCGTCGGTCTTGGAGGACAAGCTCCTGCCGCCCTGGCATGCTCAGAACGATCAGGATCTAGAGTTAATTTAGTTAGGCATGCCCCAAATGTCATCGCAAGTCCTTACTATGATTATGCCTTGTGAAGTCGTGAAGCCAGAAGCTCATGAGGAAGACTTGTGCAGCCCTTGCCAAGGCCTAGCAATCAGGGTAACAGAGGGGTAAGAAGGGGTACTAAGGGGGTAAGGGGGAAAATGTAAAAGGGGGTAAGAGGGGTAGTAGGGGGTTCGCAATCAGAGTGTTGCGAACAGAGTGACGTGGCCTCGGGCATCGGAGTCCAAGATCAACCTTAGCAACCAACTGCCAACTCTGAAACCTTAACGGCCTGAACCGCCTTGACTCTATGCCACAGCCGATTCGACTTTCTAGGCGAGATCGCGGTGTGCAAGTGCAGCCGGTGAGCGAGCTCCCGGACCCAGTTTCACTGTGTGTTTGCGAAGTAGAGAGCTGGGCAAAGGTTGGATTTGGCATCGTTTAGTTTTGCGGCTTCAGGTTGCAGGCTTTTGGGCGTGAGGTTGGGTGTGTGTAGAGTGTATGTTTTTCTAGGTGAGTTGGCAGACCAGAACAGCTGCAGCCCCAAGCTCTCGTGGGTGATGCTGCCCGATGTCACTGCCCTGATAAGCCCTGAGCCCCAATGGAGGACATCATCGACGACGGCCGATTCGCCGTCACGGCACGAAGGACGCGGAGGAGCGCTGGGATCGCGTCAGGATACCACATTCAGGGAGGATCAAGCATTCATGCTTATGGCACAGGGATGCTAAGTCCTGTTTTTTGCCTGCTGCATATTGCAGATTGCGCTGCAAAGCTGCAAGGTTATGTTCCAGTCTACAAGAGTCCCGAATGCATCGGGCCTCACTGCTTCTGGATCCTGAGCCTATGA